AAGTGTTTAATTTTGAGAATATATGGCAAATTAAGCTACAGGGAGGCCACGTCAGCTTTTGAATGCTTTCTGTAGCTCGGCGATTTGACTGCTGCTCTGGTCGCCCTTCTTTCTCTTCATTAATTATATGCTGCTGTTGTCTGTGGGATACAACTTTTGCAAAATTCTCTCTTCTTTGCTCTCTGCTGCTCTCTCGCCTGCTGTTGCTCATCATAGTCAATAGGGTACGTTGATAGGTCCACTCCAAACTGCAGCAGCATAATGAGAAGCAGAAACCACAGCAGCCCGCCAGAATGTATTCATTTCATTCCTTCTTTGCTCTCTCTCTCTCTCTCTCTCTCTCTCTCTCTCTGTGTGTGTGTGTTACAAAGAAAGAAGAACGAGAAGAAAGAAAGAGATGGAGGGATGCTAGCTAGAAGCTAATTAATTAAGTATACCCAAAACGATTCTCCCAAATCTCCCTCCCTAGCTAGCTATTTCAGATCATATTTATTGATGCCGTTGCTGCTGCTGAAATGAGGTTACGAAATCGCGTGCTTGCTCTTCCTACTAATGACTTATTATGTGTTGTTTCCGTAGCAGATGATGTGATGTGTTTGTATCAAGGATTAAAAAATTGTACCGTACCGGTGGTACGAACGGAAAACCTCCTATCGGAAGCAAAATCGATAGACAGTATGAAACGGTTGAACCACGATTAAACAACTATTTTATAGTGTAAAATACCCAACCAATGACTTTATCGGTGTGACCTCTGGTACGATATTTTCAATCCGTTGTATCCATGCAAGTCCGGTTGAGGCCAGGGAGGGGCATGCACGGGATAAAAAAATGCTTAAACAATAGAATTATTATCAAAATGAATAGTGAATTATCATATATGGTAAAATGAGGTGAATTGCATGTTTGGTTAGGTATGGCAATATTCGACTCGTTGGATAATTTCGCTCAATTGTCATATGACTCGTATGAGTGTTTGGTCGGATCTAAATGGGTCTATTTACAATTTTAATGATTTAGGGTTTGGGTTGGGTTTGAATTGAATCCAATTTATATCAAATAATGGGTTTGATGAGGTTCGCATAATTGTACACACACAAAAAAATTTATCATTACCTGTTTTCAACCAATCTACACATTTAATGTAGAGGTTTCCACCTTTCTGTTTGATTCATAACAAAAGATTAGGGGGGGGGGGGGGGAATTGGATTAAAGCGAATGCTTATTTTCTTTTAGACACTCAATACTACAAATCCAATTTAGAACCGGAGTAAAAAGTTGGATATGAGTGCCCCGTTAGTAAAATTACTCAAACATTATTTGTCTCGTAATAAATTTGGTTTGAGAAAAAAAAAACTCAAATATAGAGTCTTTTTAGTCCATGACTACATTTTGGTCACTCGTATTAGTAATTTATGTCATGTTCGCCACTAAAAAAATTATTCTCATTCGTAAGTCATCGTTTACCTTAAACCCTTGTTTTATTGGTGGTCATGACTCACTGTCTAATATCGTTAAGTTTGTGTTTTAGATGACAGTAAACAATAATAAAAATATACAATTATTATAAATAACGTTGGATGTATAATCTCCCTGAGATATGATGATGACCTGCCCTGGGTTTTTTTTTTGTCTCTACTTGTTAGTATTTCGTTGGATATCATCATCTACTCTTGCATTGCATTGAGTCTTCATCTTCTTCCCTTGTCTATGGCCATGGTGGCATCATTGCTTTGGTTTGAAAGCTTTTGTTACCAAGGGTTGGATTTTATGTTCTGCCAAAGGATCAGAATTTTTATGGGGCCAGTGATGAATATATTTTGGAATCACATATGACTTCTTGCTATTGATGAGCTTTCTTCTTCTTCTTCTTCTTCTTCTTCTTCTTCTTCATTTATTGTCCCTCTTCTGGTGCTGTACCCTCCATCTGCCTGCCTTCTGCAATTTTTGCTTCTTCTTCTTCTTCCCATCATTCCCCCTTGTCTTTTTTGCCCCCCTCCACACCTTCTTTCTTGCATCAATTGCATAAACTTGGGGTGGCTATACGGTCCGGTCCGATTAAATTGATCCGGTCCAGTTCGATTTTTTTGAGAATATAAGGACCGAAGATTGGATTGGATACAGTCCGGTCTTGATCCGGTCCGGTCCCAATTCGGTCTTGATTTTATATTGAGATTGTGGGAATTTGAGTGGCCTAAGGCCTAAAAGGGTGAGGAGTTGGTTAAGTTTTGTACTAAGTGTAAAGGTTTGTGACCGTTTATGCAAATTACCCTTAAGTTTTGGGTGTTGAGCTCTCTTATCCGATTTTTTACCTCAAATCTAAGCCCAAAGATTGGATTGGATTGTTTACTATCCGGTCCCGGTCCGATCTCGGTCCGGGTTATACGGTCCGGTTTCCGGTTTTTCATCCGGTCCCGATCTAAATAGCCAGCCCTAGCATAAACAATCCTCATCACCAAATGTTTAATTTTGAATAGATTATTACAGAAATTTGGAATAACTAATGTAAGATTACTTTGTCCTTTTCACGGTTGTCAACCCACTTGTCTACTTCCAGATCGGCCTTCTTTGATCCAGGCCTGGTGAGGAAAATGAGCACCGCACCACACACATCCACGGGTCGAATCATAGCAATGTTTACTGGTTGGAGGTCACATTATGTTGTTTTTTTTTTTCTCTTCGCTTAATTTTATTTTTGAAATATTTACTAAATTAGGGGTTTTCTTCTTCATTGACTTCTTAAAACGTAGAAACAAAGTACATATTTATAGTAGAACCGGAAAACCTAATGACTTACTAATCCTACAAGGACTCGGTAACTTAACCCTAAAGAAACTACCTTAAATACTTTAATAATTAATACTATTCCTGAACAGTAACCAAAACCGACTAACAAACTAATAATAATAATAATGATAATGGGCGGCCGAATATGATAATGCATCACTTTGTCTGTTTCACGGTTGTCAATCCGCGTGTCAACTTGTAGATTGACCTTCTTTGATCCAGGCCTGGTGAGGAAAATGATCACCGCACCACACACATCCACGGGTCGAATCATACCAATGTTTACTGGTTGGAGGTCACATTATGTTGTTTTTTTTCTCTTCGCTTAATTTTATTTTTGAAATATTTACTATATAGTTGATCCAAGTACGGACTGTTATTTTGATGTAATTTTATATGTTACACTACAAGAAAACCAGCTTGTAGAGGCAAATAATTAGAAACAATTGTTGTAGTTGTCTCTATATATAAGCTTAAGGGGCAAATATATTATTTGTCTCAATAGGTGATATTGTTTGTCTATACAGTCAAATCTAATAATCTTTAGAGACAAATACATGGGAAGTATAGAAATAATTATAATTGTCTCCAGAACTTGAAATGGGAACAAAAATATTTCTCTCTCAAACCAAATAAGAAGAGAAAAAGATATGTTCTTTAAAGTGGAATTACAATCAATAAGATTTGATTCATATTCTTTAATTAGATGAAGCTATTATTTGTATCTATATTTGCTTCTAATAGAGACAGAGGCGTCCGAGACAAATAATTTATTTGCTTCAAAAGATATATAGAGACCAATAACTGAATTTTTCTATAACCAGGATAAACCGGACTAAAATGATCGAACCTTTAAGTCTCAACTCTCAACCCACTTGCTCAATCGAGCCAACAGGCTAAACCGGCTTGACAACCTTGGTTTGTTTTCCTCCATCCGTTTGTCCAAATTATCGAGATCTATATTCTGACATGTCGAGAAATGTTGCATATGTTCTCTTCAGGGGTTGTCAATTAAAGAAATCGATAGAACTACTATATTTAATAGTTTTCTGGCATTTGCAATTTGAAAAAGGTTTCATATTTTTAAAATAATTCACGAAACAACCTCATCCAAAAACCATCCCTAATTTAATTCGAATAAATGTGTAGATCGAATCATCAAATAGTAATTTGAGATCCCAAAGTATTGTGGTCGGGCCGACTATTGCTGCTCCGGCTAGCTGCATGCAGGAATGGAATAATTACCTTATTTATTTATGGCCACTTTCCTGTTCATTTCATTCTGTGTTTTCTTATTTACGGAATTTTGTACATTTCATTCTGCATTAATCTTTTTACGTTTATTTAGCATTGGATTTTGTTGGCAATAAATAAATAACCAGCAGCATGAGTGGAACGTACGTACATTCCAGTTTCAGCCTCATTGAACTATTGCATTGAAAGCAATGTATGGAGTAGTAGTAAAGTATTGTTCACGAGAAAAAGACAAACACTGTAGTTATCATGTTTCACGCTTCGTTCTTTATGCTCGTGCATATTTGCTACAAAAATGGTGATAATTACAGTATGAATCATTTAATGGAATGTTGCTTACTATCTCCATGCAATGTTGTAAAGGTGCAAAGTTTGAGATGAGGGCTGAAATTAATTTCTGTGAAAGATCTCTGTCAATTTGTGTGCATAATCAATACCATCCAATGAACTTAGATAACATGCTCTCAACTGACCTAGGCGGAACATCGGCTCCGGCGCCGACTCTTCTCCCTTCTGACCGTCCACCGGATTTACCTAGCTCTTTTGCGATGGCTGATCCTAAACTGATGTCTCTGTCAGTGGCTACGGCCACCAGTTCAAACGATATGATTACTGAACCCTCTGTTTTATCTGTGCAGGAAAGGCCGATCCAGATTCCGATGGCGGGAGCGCAGCCGGGATTGGAGGCCGGCCAACCCTTCTCGTATGCTAATGCGGTTAAGGGGACTCCGGCGAAGGTGACATCTCCGAACCCAATGCAACGGTGGTCTCCAGTAGGCGAACATGACCTAATTACCAGTGATCGGAATGGAGAACCGGCACTCACAATCTCGGCTGACTTCAAAGCTAGATTGTGCGCGCCTTGGGAAAGAGCTCTGGTGGTCCGATTGCTCGGACTAAGGATCGGCTTCGTCACGCTCTGTAACCGGCTCAAAAGTCTGTGGCGGCCGACGGGTTCGATGGAGGTCAAGGATTTAGATCACGACTGCTTCTTGGTTAAGCTGAACAATGAACAAGACTATTTCAGGGCGCTTACTGACGGACCGTGGGTTATATTCGATCACTATTTGGTGGTTCAACAGTGGTCGCCGAAATTTAAGGCCTCCGATCCTCTGCCGAAGACAATGATTGTCTAGGTTCAGCTCCCAGCCTTGAAAATTCATTTTTATCACAGGGAGGTGCTCACGACGTTGGGAAATCTTATTGGGCGGACCATTAAACTGGATTACCATACTCTGAACCAAGAACGAGCGAAATTTGCTCGGCTGGCAGTTGAAGTGGACCTCTCGAAGGCTCTGGTTCCCAGGATCTGGCTCGACGATGAGTGGCAGACGGTTGAATATGAAAACCTCCCTGAGGTCTGTTTCAGGTGTGGAAAGATTGGCCATGAAGCGGGAACATGTCCGTCTATTAAACCGGTTGTAGCGCCGGTGCAATTGCTGACCGCCGGTGGGTCTTCTCCGGCGAGCCCTCATACGCCGGACGATCCCAATCCGGGATACGGTCCGTGGATGCTGGTGACCAGGAAAACCCGGCGAAATCCAAGGGAAGACCAGAAAAAAGGGAAGGGCGATCAGGAGGCGGGAAATCAGGCCCCGAAACAAACTTCTAAAAATGGAACTCGGGGGACCTCGGCGAAGGAAAGGGGGCAGCCGCTGCCGATGAAGGAGTCTTCAAACGGTAACTTACCAAATCAGAGTCATATACAGGATAGGAAGGGGGACACGGAGAAGAAAAGGAAAGAGGAGGCTAAGAAAGGCAAGGATAAAGAACTCGGGTATGGGTCAGGGAAGGGTAAGGGGCTTCTTGGGCCAGGGCCCAGCTTTGGGGAGGCAAGAGTGGATGAGACGGGGCCCAGTTCTCTAGGCGGGGGCTCTTCTTCTGCTGGGCCTTCTTTGGCCACCTCTTCGCAACAGGGAGAGCCGAAGTCTCCAGGCGTATTGGTTGGGCCGGCCGAGGGGGCCAGGCCCGCTAAATCCCTTCCTCCTACGCCCAGCTTTCGTACTGTGACAGGCCCGAATGGGACTGTTATGCAAATTCTAAACAGCAAGCCCAATGGAAAAGAGAATGAAGACCCAAAGTCGACCCCCTCTCCCTCGTTGACTAGCAGAACTAAACGGAACAAAAACAAGAAAGTGCAGCAGAGGAACTCACCGACCAAGTTGAATTCGATGAAGCCCCTGCAAATTTGGTCCCCGGTGAAAGATAGGAAACCAAAATCTAAGGGCCGGTTGGCGTCGCTGACCTTGCAAGAAATCCATGCCTGGACGGAAGCGGCGAAACGACCAGCTAGTGGAGAAGGAGATACGGGGTCGGCGGAGATGTCTGCCAAAAACGTGGGCGAAGATGCGGCGGTCGCCGGGGCTGCAGTCTGCTCGCCCGTTCTTCCCTCGTCGTGATGCGAGTGGAGCCTCCTCCCCTGTTCTGTTCCGCTTTAATCTTCTCGTTATGTCTATATCGCCCAATTTGAAAGTCTTCTCCTGGAACGTCGGTGGTGCGGGGGGAAGAGGGTTCTTAAGAGCGCTGAAGCTGGCGATCCAGAATCACCGGCCCGATTTTGTGGTGCTTCTGGAACCCCAGATTAGTGGTATGCAAGCTGACTCCGTCTGTGATAAGCTGGGATTTCCCAACTCGATCCGGGTTGAGGCAGAGGGACGCAAGGGGGGTGTGTGGGTGTTCTGGGATGCGAAAGCCTTCTCTGTGCAGCCCTTTTCTGCCTGTTTCCAACATATTTCATTGCAGGTCTCTAGGAATAATGAGCCCCAGTGGATGTTGACAGCTATCTATGCTTCTCCTCGGCAAAGCGAGCAGAACCAACTTTGGGATCGAATTATTGATCTCAGTAAATGCATTGATATCCCGTGGTTGTTGACAGGGGACTTTAACGCTATCAGCAAGCTGGAGGAGAAGGCGGGCTTACCGGCAAGGAACACTCTCAGAAGGTGCCAGCTTTTTACTGAGAGAATGAATGCGGCGGAGCTGGTGGACCTTGGGTTCTCGGGTCCCAGGTTCACTTGGGGAAGAGGTGATCAAAACCATACTTACAAAGCGAGCAGGTTAGACAGGAGCCTCTGCAACCTCCGCTGGAACACGGTCTTCCCTAATACGACTGTGCTTCACCTACCTCGCCTTCAATCGGATCATAATCCGATCCTCACCACTGTTCAGGGGCAGTTGACTCAACATCAGCAGATCCGCTCTTTCAAGTTTGAGGCGGCCTGGCTAACGGATGAGAGCCTGCCAAATTTGGTTGCGGAGGCATGGGATTCTCAAGCTTCTATTCAGGATGCCCTTCGCACTCTTGCTGCTAAATTAGGGGAATGGAATGAAGTGGTTTTTGGGGACATTAAGCAGAAGAAAAGAAGGCTGCTAGCTAGGCTCAAGGGAGTTGAAATGAGACTAGCAGGCAGTTTTTCTCCCGGGTTGGCTAAGCTCCACACCAAGTTGGCGGGAGAGTTGGATAAAGTTCTGGAGCAGGAGGAACTTCTCTGGTATCAGCGATCCAGAGATAATTGGGTTAAGTATGGAGAAAGAAACACAGCCTATTTTCACCAGCAGGTCAACATCAGGAGGCGTTTTAATAAAATTCAGGCGTTGATGGATGACAACGGCGATTGGGTTTCTGATCCTGCTTCTCTGGCGCAGCTAGTGTTTGGTTTTATTTCTAACATTTTCTTGCAGGATGATTCTCCTTATGAAGATAGGTTGTCGAGGAATGCTTTTCCTCGTCTGAACCAGGAGGAGATTGCAGCTCTTTTCAGGCCCTTCACTATCATGGACATCCACAAGGCGGTGTTCGATATGAAGCCTCTTCAGGCTCCTGGTCCAGATGGGTTTCAGGCGGTGTTCTACCAGCGCTTCTGGCAGGTAGTAGGCAGGGCCCTGTCTGAGATGGTCATCTCTTTCTTCATGACAGGGGTTTTACCAGAGGCGATTACGGATTCGACGCTGGTGCTCATCCCGAAAGTTGACTCACCGGAGAAAGTAACCCAGCTCAGACCTATTTCTCTCAACAACGTCTGTCTCAAGAGCATTACGAAGGCGATGACCTCGAGACTAAAGCCCCTGATGAGGAAGTTGGTGTCTCCGAGACAAAGCAGCTTCATTCCCGGCAGACAAACGACTGACAACATCATTGTTGTTCAGGAAGTACTTCACTCTTTCCGCAAGAAAAGAGGGAAGAAAGGGGGGTTAATCTTTAAGATCGATCTTGAGAAAGCGTACGACATGCTCCGTTGGGACTTTCTGCGGGACACTTTGAAAGAGGTTGGGTTGTCCAGCAGCTGGATAAACTGCATTATGTACTGTGTGGAGCACAACAGGATGAGAATCAGATGGAATGGAGAGTTGTCTCAACCGATTACTCCAACCCGTGGTGTTCGTCAGGGAGATCCCCTTTCTCCTTACCTTTTTGTTTTGTGTATGGAAAGATTATCGCATAAGATAGATGAGGCGGTAAATAACGGACAATGGAAGGCTGTTAGGCTAACCAAAACCAGTCCGCCACTAACTCATCTTTTTTTTTGCAGATGATCTGTTACTTTTCGCAGAAGCAGAAAGACGGCAGATCCGTGTAGTGAAGCAATGTCTTGCAGACTTCTGCTACAGCTCCGGGCAGCGGGTCAACTTCAGCAAGTCCATCCTCTATGTCTCTCCGAATGTTGCCAGACGAAAAGCAGAGTATCTGAGTTCTTGTGCAGGGATCCCTCTGAAGGCAGGGTTGGGGAGATATCTCGGGATCCAAGCAATTCAAGAAAGGATCACCAAAGGGAGATACCAGTCTCTGATACTCCGCATTCAGAAGAAGATGGCTCCCTGGAAGGCGAAGCGTCTATCCTTTGCTGCCCGCCTCACCGTGGCGAAATCGGTCACTGCCTCGCTTCCTGTTTATACTATGAATACGGAGCTGATTCCTAGTGGTGTGTGCAGGAGTATTGATAAAATCAGCAGGGATTTCATCTGGGGTGATGAGGAGAACAAGCCTAAATTTCACCTTGTTGCGTGGGAGCAATTGACGGTACCCAAAAGCCAAGGGGGTGTGGGTATCAGGCCAACTCGCCTAGCTAATCTGGCTATGCTCGCGAAAGGTGGCTGGCGGCTCCTCAAAGACAAAGAGAACATTTGGCAGCAGTTGCTCATATCGAAATATGGCGGTCAACGGAAGGGCTTGGATGTTCTCCAGAAAGTAAAGGGAAGTTCCTTCACCTGGCGTAGCTTTACGAAAGCTGCGGATCTCCTCAAGCGAGGGTGTGCTTGGAATATTAAAAACGGGAAAAGAACTAAGTTTTGGATTGATCCGTGGATTTTACAGGTACCGCTTAAGGAGAGGGCGCTTGGTGACATCCCAGAGGAACTGATGGAGGCGGCGGTGGCTGATTTTGTGCAAGAAGATGGCGTTTGGCGTACCGAGAAGTTCGAGGAGCTCCTTCCCCCGGAAATTTGCAGCAGGATCACGAGCATGGCGGTGGACACCATTACACCCCACGAGGACTCGATTTTCTGGACGGGGACCTCTGATGGGCGTTTTTCCACAAAGTCAGCTTTTGAGCTTCTCACGAACCAGGCGGAGCAGGGGAGCGATGGAGTGTGGAAGATTATTTGAGGTGTACAGGTTGTCCTGAGACGGCCCTGCATATCCTTCGAGATTGCGCCCCTGCTATGTATTTTTGGGCGAGACAGGTTCCCCAACAGCAGCAGAATGAGTTCTTCAGCTGTAATCATGAAGAGTGGTTTAGGAGGAATCTGTTGAGTAAGGAGTCCTCGGTTTCGGGCATAAGTTGGCCAGGCTTCTTCGGGATTGCCAGTTGGCTATTGTGGAAGAATCGCACCACGGCGTCTTTCAAGGGGGTGGGGTCAGCTCTATCGGCTCCATCACTTGCGCATTCAATTATTCAGAAGTGCAGGCTGTGGACGGACTCTTGGAATGCGCCAGACTTGCTGTCCAGTCACAGGAACAAAAGAGCAGAGCGCGTGGTGGCGGACATTGGGTGGACTCCTCCTAGCCAGGGGTGGGTGATGGTGAATACGGACGGGGCTTCGAATGGCAACCCTGGGCCGGCCGGCGAGGGGGGTGTGATTAGAGATGCGATGGGGAACTGGCTTGGTGGTTTTGTTGTGAACATCGGAACAACAACGGCTGCTCTGGCGGAGCTTTGGGCTATTTTTCATGGGTTAGAGCTGGCTTGGAAACTCGGGTTCCGAGTAGTGAAGCTCGCTTCGGACTCTCAGTTAGCGATTCAGCTTATTCAGGATCGGCAGGATCCTATTCACCCTTATGCTACTCTGTTGGGTCTCGTCCGTAGGAAGCTCAGTCAGGACTGGCTGGTCAACCTGTCTCATACATACCGTGAAGGGAATAGAGTCGCGGACTGGCTCTCGAAGCACAGTCTCGTCTATCCCTATGGGATGCATGAGCTGGTTGACCC